ATACGAAACATGTACTGTATTGAATTCTCAACCTCCTGGATACAAAACATGTACTGTATTGAATTCTCAACCTCCTGGATACGAAACATGTACTGTATTGAATTCTCAACCTCCTGGATACGAAGCATGTACTGTATTGAATTCTCAACCTCCTGGATATGAAGCATGTACTGTATTGAATTCTCAACCTCCTGGATACGAAGCATGTACTGTATTGAATTCTCAACCTCCTGGATACGAAATATGTACTGTATTGAATTCTCAACTTCCTGGATACGAAGCATGTGCTTTATTTTATGAGTCAGAGCCCAGAGATATTTTTCACCTATGTAGCATTATTAAGTGGAATACTGTATATATACATATATTTATGTTTTAAATGAATAGATTCTGTAAATAATGCTGCTCTTGTATCGTGATGAATGGAACAGAAACCTACTAAACAGAATATGCAGATGTATTTAGATTTAAAGTAAACAACTGTAAGATCATGAAATGGCTATAAACAAAATATATCTCTGTACACAACATTTTTTGTCTTTGTAGATAGTCACATCTTTTATTAAAATCTTGAGATTTTTTTACTTAACCAAACTCAGCAATGTTATAGAATAATGAGTTTTTAAAATTGTGGTATCAAAAAGTGTCAAAATCACTTTTTTTCCTATTTCACTTATTTGTCTTTTTCTTTCCATAATAATGTTGACTCTTTTTACTGTCCCTTAAAGTATTAACAACACATTGGTCCTCTACCACCAATAACAGAAATGATGTAATATTTTATTCCCATAACTGTATTTAAACTTTAGGCCTAGTTGTCGATATATAGGCACCTGTATTAAGATAGTGGAAATGTATAATAGTTATAAAATAGTGAATTTTTAAAATTGTGGTATCAAGAATGTAAAAATCAACTGTCTTTATTTGTTTTTTTGTAAATTTCTTTTGTGTATACATGTCTAATTTGTATTTGTATATCATCTGAAACCTGTAATTATTTTATTTTGGCATAATGTGTTAGTTGTAGAGGTTCAAAAGTAAATGATGTTGTGGCATTGACTACTACAGTTAATATCCATAAATTATATAGCAGGCAAAGTTGTGCTTCAGGTATGAAGCATATTTGAACTCTAGGCCTAATTGTTGATTTTCAGGCACCTCTTGTAATGTGTATTGAGAAGTAATGGTATTGAATTACATATAAGCCACAAAAAGTTAAAAAATTAATTTAATATGTTTCCTTGCATGTACAATTAGCCAATAGAAATATTGCATTTCCATGTGAGCTAACATGCATACATTCATAGTCTGACTGACACAAATTGTTCTTTTAATTACGCAGATGTGCAATATACACTGTCCCTATCTACTATCTAGCGAAACCACAGCCAAGGGAACGGGCTTGGAAAAATCAGCTGGGAACAACTTGCTACTGTGATCTAATGAAGCTTTAGTTGTAGCATTTTTATTGTCAAAACAGTTATACATTGTAAGGCTAACATCGTCATGTTTCTATATGGAAGAGTTGTGTTATATTGTGACATCTTCATGTTCATATATGCAAGAATTGTATTATACTTTAACATCGCTAGTGTTGTTCACCTCTGCCACTAAAATTTTTCTGAAAGTATTTTTCATGACTTTCACTTGACTAGCATTAAGCTACTTTACAGATGAGGTATTCTTAGGAGGAAGATTTAAAATTTGAGAAGCTTGAAAATACACAAAAATTCTATATTTTTGGATGAATGCAATTGTATATTTACTAGAATTAGAGGGAAGTGCGTTTGTCCTCTGACTTCTTGGGTTTTTGCATTTGGACCTGTCAAGTATGGTTTAATTAACTGAATGATTCGGGATGCATCAAGAAGAAATCACTTTTCAATTACGTACATAGAGTTCATAGCTTCAGTGATATCAGTCAGTGGGGGTGGCCACTAAGAGTACTGATGGGATTTCTACAGTTTCCTCTTTCAATAGCATGGGGTATACATACTATGTATGTACTTTCAGTCATTAGTGGCATGTTTAGGACAAAAACAAACACTCATTCCCAAATCTCATCAATCATTTGAGGGAATTAATAGTCATTGATATAAACACCTCATAATGATACCTATCAGCTGTGTGGTTTATTACTGGAGATTTAAATGTACAGATTGTTTTGTTCTTGTATTTTATGTGTCAGTCAGGAGATGATCATGTCAAAATATGCAAGAGAAGCTTTTCAAGAACAGGAAGGATAACTTAAAAAAAAAGGTTATGAATGCATCCATAGCCACAAACCCCAGTAAAGATGAAGCTATAGATAAAACAGAACAATGACCCATCTCTGTAAAACCAGTAAATGAATCGTCTGAATGGTTTGATAACTTTCACAAACTTCTTACCATGCATTGCTCAGGTACATCTCGTATTGTATAATTGTTTACATAATACTTACTAGAGTAATGATACTTTACTTTAGGAATCAAAAGACTCGAAGAAAGACAAAAAGAAAAAAAGAAGGGGTTAAGGACACCCTCATTTCTGAAGAAACGTAAAGCCAAAAAAGAAGGAAAAGAAAAATCAACTTCCTAAATACTGTTCACCCTTTTGTCAGTAAGTAAGACGTGGAATTCAAAGTAAAGTATGTACATATATGTAGATTTATTTTTTTATTTTATTTTACTTTTTATATTGATTCTTGTGAGTATTTAACCCGATACTCTCCGGGGCCATTTTGTCTTATTGTGAGGGCAAAATCATTTGTGAATTGGAAAAATGATAGAGAACTCATCTTTTATTGGATTTCAGATTTTATTTTTGTAAATAGTAGCATACATTCAATTATTTGCACAAAATTGTATTCTTTAATGAAGTTTAAAGAGGAATTTAATGAAAAAATTTCTAAAATACGTTTTAGACTGTAAATAAGCACCCTCTAAGAAGAAATTTTTTTTTTTCACAAATTTTTTAAGATATTTCCTTTCACTTCAGCATTGGTCCTGCCATCTATGATTGGTATCTCAACCTTTTTCTAGTCTGTTTTCTTTATAAAACTGCGTCTGGGCGTGTTAAACCTCAGTTGTAAACCTTTTAGCCAATCCTAGTCGAAGATGTCAATTTCAGTACCATGTTATTCCAATCAATGTATCTCACATTTGACAAATCATAGGATGATAAGGAAAGCACATGATGAAACGTTGTTCTCTGGATTTTACAATATGAATGTGGGTGGTGCTTATTATAGTAACTTCCGTTTTATGTAGAGGTTGTATTTAGTACTGGCCAATAGTGCTTTTCTATAAGCATTAGAAAAGTTGCTTCTGGAAAAACTGCATGGGATGTACGTGACTTTTATTATTTTTATATAGTAGCTTAAGTCATGCTGCATTATATATCTGTTTATATTAATCATTATATTGAAAAATTAACTCAAAATAGATATATTTTTTAGAAAAAAGTTGATCCACGATTGTTAGGGTTAAGAGCTATCGAGTGGCGAATGCAAAGTC